TGTCTTTGGAGGATTTTAAGAACAGTTAGACAAACACCTGCCAGAGGTGATCTTGGTCCTGCTTCAGTGCAGGGGACTGGACTAGATGACCTACTGAGGTCACTTCCAGACGTGCATTTCTATGATTCTGTGGGCTAGCAGAACCTATTACTTGGGAGGTGGGGAAGGGATAGTCTTGGCGGGGTGGAGCTAAACTCGATGGAGAAGATTCCTTTATTTAAAAGAAAATGGTGAGAATGATACAGTGTGAAGAAAACCTCATTGGAAGTGGGTATTTTTACATGTCCTGTTTGATATTATTATGTTTTATTTATCAAATGTCTATTGTCTATGGATTTTTTGAGCATAGGTGTAGGTGTCCTGGATGCCACCTCACCCCCTGTTTTATTGTGGGATATTAGAGAAATCACTTCGCTCTCCTTTGACTCAGTTTGCCTATCTACACACTGGGGATAATGATACCTACCTCATGGGGATTTTGTGAGACTCCATTATTTAATATTTGTAAAGCAGTTTGAGATTCTTGGATGAAAGTTGCAATAGTAATTTTTAAATGTAAAAATATGAAATTGTACATAACCTTGATAATCTGTTTCTCATAACCTTTGGCTTCCTTCTTTGTGTGACAAGCAGCAAATAAACAACAATTTAGCCACCACATTATGGATCAACTGTTGAGGTTTTCCCCTATGTTAATTACATGGATCGGCAATACTGTTTGCTCAAATGTATATTTCAAAAGAAAGTCAATTTAAAGCCTTTAACAATCTAAAGCGTGCCATGTAATTGTGGAACTACGTGGTATTTTTCACATTTTGGAGATGGGCAATAGGAACAGAACTCCATCCAAACATTCGGTTTGGTGTAGTTAGTTACAATGGAAACATCCTCATATTTTACCACCAAAACTCCTGCTGTGACACGAAGGGGGATCACTCTTTGTATGAGAACAAAAAGTCGAATACCCAAACAACAATGGATAAAAGAGCTGTCTGTGTATCTACTATTTCAGGTCTGGGGTAAAATTAAGCCAGAACTGATGTTCTTCTTCTGGAGATGCATTATTGTCTGCTAAGGAATTTACTTAAGACTAACTTATTTAATGTGCACTTCATACTGGAATTCAGTCTGAGAAGCCAGTGTTTTGCCGGCTAAACCACACAAATCCACATTAAGTATTTGTTCTAATTGTGCAAATATTGAATTAATTCAACGTGTCAAAGGCAGCTAATACCGTGTATAAAGCTACCTCTATCATGCATTACAATGTTTAAAGTCATCAGAGAACAATGACTTTTGAAACTTTCCTTTGAAACTGATTGAAGCGAGGAAGGCAGTGGGCCTTTAAATATTCATGCCCATTGACAAAGAGGTCCCTGTGCAGCTGCTGAGGCGAAGGGTGTAGACACCTCTGAAAAGGAGATTCAGCCAGGGAACAAAGAGCTCCAACCTCTGCCCTTATTAGAGTGCCATGGGATTTTCTTGTTTTTTTAATTCATTCCTTCAACAGATGGGGCCACAGTTAGGCATCTTCTTTTCAGAAAACGACTTCTAATATAACACCCAGGCATACGGCAGAGCACGCTACAGCACGGACAAAAGTGCTTTGACAGCTTTTCTGAGGTAGGCCGTACTTCTGCAGCATTTATGTTTTGACCCTTGAATACGAGTTATGCCATGATCACATTCAACAATAGTCCTACAATTCTGATGGCTTCAGTTGCTCACACATTTAGGCCCTTTATGCCACAGTTATAGCGAAGGCCTTGTCTTCCCTCAAACGTTGCATTGCCTTAACTATACTGGTGCTGTTAAAGCGGTGCAACCCCCCAGTGTAGTATATACTGCTATAAAATTGCTTATAGTGGTGTAGCTTATTCCCTGAGGGGACGGGGAATAAGCTATTGTGACTGAGAGACACGCTTGGCAAAGGGGCCCCTGTTCTTTGCAAACACCGCTCACCTCAGGCTTGACAAACTCACTGCACCAAAGCCAGGTCTAACAGGATATTTATCCATAACGAAAAACATGAAAGGTATCTACAGAAAACTTGTAACTTGTTAAGAGTCATAAGCACTTTGAGATGCATGCACAGGCCATATTTAAGAAATAATATATTTATATTGAAAGTACACTTCATGGGCTCACAGTAGAGATTAGTCAACAGGCGATAACGTGTCTCAGGGTACGGCCACACTTAAAGCACTACAGCAGGGCAGCATGCAGTGCTGTAGCACTTCAGAGTAGACATTACCTACACTGAAGGGAGGTGTTCTCCCATTGGCGTAGGTAATCCACCTCCCCAAGAGGCGATAGCTAGGTTGATGGAAGAATTCTTCCACTGACCTAGAGCTGTCTTCATGGAGTCTTAGGTCAGCTTAACTGTGCTGCTGCATGTGGCTGTTTCACACCCCTAACCGACATGTTAAACTGACCTAATTTTCTAGTGTATACTAGGCTTCAGTGATGACCCATTCAAGCAAGAGGTAATTGTCACCTGTCCCTAGTCAGCCAGCAAAGTAATGCAAGTTCCTATTGTGTACTTTTGCCACATCACAGAGTAGTCAATGGAAATCAAAGACAATGGCAAACAATCCAAACCACTTAGAAGCGAAAAGGATCATTACAGCAGGCAGGAGAAATGAAGAAATACAAAAGACTGTTTCATTATAACAGAGTATAGGGAAAGGTACTCTGGATCCATTCATTGAGGAAAACCACTTAAAGAGTGGGGGGACTTTCATGTACGTTTGGATCCTGGCTCTTGTGAAACCAGCCATCTGTGCAATGGACTGAACTTTGGGAGGAAAGCCTACTTTATTAGATCAGAAAAGTAACACTAAGTGTAGACCCAGATTGGCATTTATGATTTTGTTTTGTGTTGTACCCAGTTATTTCCATCATTTTCCCTCACTTCTAGGTAAACCTTTATTCTTTAATAAACCTACTTTTGTTTTACTACAAGTGCTGTGTGGTTACAGGAGTTTAAGGTAAAACTGGTAAACTGTAGGTATGCTGCACCTTTGGGTGCAGAGGATCTGAGATTTCTATGAGTAGCCAGTGTCAGGAGCTGGATACCATAGGGGAATATTTCAAAGGGACGTGGTGACTGGGGTGCACCTATTCTTAATCTGCAAGGTGAAGTTAGGATGAGTTATAGCCCAGACAGGAGTGCCTGAGTGGCTGAAAGGGAGCTGGTGTTAGGGAGCTGACACTCAGCTACCACTCAAAAGAGTCCCTCGAGTGGGCGGTAGGGGGCAACAAGGTGACTCACAGACCTGGGTGGTCCAAGAATCATCACAGCTATGCCAATATATGGCACTTTTATACTGGCATCACTGCACACACACTAGGAGCTTCACTGGTATAACTATACTGGTTAAAAAAAAAGCACACCTTTAACCCACATAGTTATACAGGTTCAAAATCTGTGTGCAGACAAGACCTAAATCTTATCTACGTAATGATCTTCCATTTCTGCACCTCTCCATTAAAGTCTGGTAACAATGCAAACAGAAAGAGCAAGATCTTTTAACAGCAGAATACTTTTTTCTTACACTCAAAGGGCCACAGCTACTGTAGCTGCAGCGATAAATTTAAGGGGGGAAGGTGTTGGATTAATTTCCACAGAGTGAATTTCTTTTTGGATCTTTCTCTCTCCTCGTGACATAGTGAAGTTTACTGCTTATGAAATAAATGCAAAAAGCCAGCCGTAATGCAATGTGAAGGTTGAGAGACCAGGCACTTGAAAGTCAGAGAGGCTGAGGCCTGGTCTACACTGGAGGGTGGCGGGGGTAGGGGGGAAAGGGGGGGATTGATCTAAGTTACGCAACTTCAGCTACGTGAATAATGTAGCTGAAGTCGACGTACTTAGACCGACTTACTGCGGTATCTTCACTACGATGAGTCGATTGCTGCCGCTCCCCCATCAACTCTGCCTGCGCCTCTCGCAGCGCTGGAGTACAGGAGTCGACGGGAGAGTGCTCGGAGGCCAATCCGGTGGGTAATGCAGACATACCCTAAGTCTCCCTTACACGGCACCAAGTGTAGACATTCACACTAGTGCAAAGTGAATGCAGTAGGGATGTTAAACACTACCATTCTGGTGTGAATTACTACACAAGGAAAAAACAATAGAGGAGCAGATCTAGGAGATCCCAAAGGTTGAGACTGCTCTGTCAACATTAAGTGGGCCAAACCTGAGTGAGTTATGCTGCGACCTTGCATTTGGTCCCTCCATTTCTACCATAACCGCCCCTACAGAAAGTCTGACATGTAGTTTCCGGTTAGGAAATCAATGGAGACTGGATTTTTATGCTAGTCAAATGTTTCAGTAGAAACAAAGCTCTTTGATTTGAAGGGCCTGATTCTCTAGGGCTTTGGGCCTGCACAGTCACTTAGAGCAAAGCAAAGTGGATGTAACATGCTACTAAACTGATCTGGAAACATTTTGCTCTTACTTGGTTCTGTGGCTAGTGATGACACAAGGGAAAATCAGGTCCAAAATGTGCACGTATTTTCCTCTCACATGCTCTCTCTAACATTCTTTTTAGAAAAGCCCAGTTAGCATTAACCACGGTTACAACCATGAACAGATAATGAAAGGTCCCCTGGAGCCCTTGAGCTGTCTCATTGAGAAAAATCTCAATCTTGCTGCTTGGGTGTACTGAATTGTATAGGGATAGGCCTACTGGGAGCAAGGTCACTCTTCATGGAAACAGGTGCTAAGGCCCATATCCTCCAAGGTATTTAGGGACCTAATTCCCCATACTTTGGAGGATCTAGGCCTAAATGCCTAGTCTCAGTTTATGTAACAAAGTGGTTCTTAAAATACACAATGCTATTTCTAATATCAACATCCACAGTAATGGTAAGCCACCAAAATGTGTTACTTGTGCTCTTGGGCATTGAGCCATGTATGTGTGATGGGAGGCCCAAAGAGGATATACTGGAAGTTTTTAAGGACATATTGTAAAAGACTGAGAAAATGATCAGAAACAGAACTTTGAATGTAGATCTTTATTATACAGGTCCATTGCTGTGGTCACCATGCAGTTACACCATAATGGGAATGATCTTGCCAAAAGGTTCTCACTAATCAAATTTCAAGAGACCACAGAACACAGCATTCCAAATAACTGGCACTTTAATTTTGATAGAGCAAAAATAAATAGAGGAATGACAAAATGTCCTTTTCACATACAGTGGGGCATATACATGTTTCTTCTTTTCTATAGCTAGTTAGCAGACTAACTCAACATGTCTGACCCTAAATGCAGATCTTTCATTTGAGGGCTTAGAGAGGGCAAGTATACCCCTTCCCTTTGATTATGAGACAGAAAGCACTTTTCTGGTAAGTGCATTTATCAAAAATGAGTACAATGTAATTTTGTATTTCATTACCACTTCCTGCCCTTTTTCCAACCCCTTCGGACACTAAAAGGAAATGACAGGACGGGTCTAGTCAAACATTGGCCCTGGAACTTTCCCTTTCTAATTTTCATGGAACTTTGACAATTTAAAGGTTCATCCCAAACCTAAGTATGTTCAGGAATCCAACGTCTCTGGGGTATAGTCACCAGTCAAGAGCTGTACAAAGACTGCACATATAGTGTTAAGTAAAAGTGATTACTTCTAAAAAAACCTTTTCTTAAAATTTGCAGATCAAAGCAAAACAAGTCCCATTCACTGAAGGATCTTCTTGCAACCTGTCCTTCAATTCCTTGCACAGGAATATGCTATAAATGGAGTTAGTTACAATTTACAGTCCAATGTGATCTTCTGGTCCTGCAGAAGAGCTTGTCTCTTCATCTGAGGAGTTCATCCTCAAAAGCATAAATAACATCTAGAAACTCATAGAGTTTATGGTTTTAATTTATAAAATTAAACCTGCTCCAGACAGGTAATACTGATATATAAATTTGCCATCCCTGGGTTCTATCAGAAACAGTGTACTGGTGCACAACATGTAATGCTGGGTTCCTTCTAACACTTCAGAAACAAGATCCGATGTGATGCACATTAGAACTTTGAAGCACTTCTCATTTAACTCCGCAGAGCCCGGGACCTGGTAAGCTGCCAGAACTTCCTCCATCATCTTGCCTGTTGACAAAAGGAACAATAACTAGTCATCACTGGTCATTGGAGTGTTTCCAATTAAAAAAAACCAAACCCTGAAAAAGAGAGATGAAGTCACTCAATAGCAACTGTTTCATAAATATCAGGGATCTGTGATGCAGTTTTCAATCTCTCTCTTATCCTTAGCATACTAATAAAGAAGAAATGTATTCTATACTATATATTTCCTAAAGCACTACCCGGGACTGAATACAATAGCAACTCTTCTTTTTTTCTATTCTCTTATTTTGTTCAACAAATTATAATATTTAAAAAATACTTATAAAATGTTCTTTAAATAAAGAACAACTGCTACTTTTACAGTGAATTCACTGCTGGTGGAAGAGGCTGGATTGACAATGCTGTAATTTTTCTTAGGTCACACTTTTTATTAAAGGTACAGTTTAAATAGTATATACAGGGTTCATAATCATAAATAGATGGTTTAATAAATGACTAATCAGCTGTTCTAGATTTTGAAGAGTCCAGCAGGTCAAGCAACTTATAATCATCTCTAAAACATACTACTCATGTCTGTAACATACTGACTGATTATCCCTTTATAAACATACTCTTACTATAAAGCGTGACCCTTTCTTTTTATCCACAGAATAGGTGTAAAATGAGCAGGGGGAATGAAAGTTTCCCCTATCCTGCCAATGAGCTTCTGCTCAATCTATGCAAGTGAAGGAGGTAGATCAGTCTTCATCTCCACTCAGTTATTGGCCTCCATTGAGAATGCTAGCCAGGGGGTTACTGTGACAACTGTGAAAGTGTGTGCTGGGATCCTAACCGAGCCCACCTACTTATTTCACAAAGGCTATTATAGAGTGACCAGAAGGTCATGACTCTCAGTCATTATTGACCTGGGCAAGATTAGAAAAAGGACAAATTCTTAAATATATTTTATATACAGCAGTTATGCAATGAAATTGCAGAACTGATATCTGTTGTTTTTCTGAACACTCCTGTAACGTCACTGCAGCTATCCAAATGGATTTTGATTGATTTAATTATTGCCTTTATCGTTTTCACCTAATACATCTTTACTAGAGTGCCATAAGAGCAATTCAAATGTTTTTGCCGGACTGTTTTGTTTAAATAAACCAGTTAATATCTATAAGTCCCTTTTAAAATATTTTTGAAAAGTAAAGCATCACAGAGGAGGCATGTTTTGTAGGACCACATGAATTTGCCATAATTTAATCAGGTTTACAATTTTATAACTACTTTTATGATGCATGCAAGGTGTGCATAATTGCATAATGCGGGCTAAATGTACATCTATCCATTGCCTCCTAAAACAGAGTATTGTTCAATAGAAACCTCCACTTAAAAAACCATACCAAAACCAAAAAAAAAAGAAAAAGAAATAGTATTACCATAAATCAGATACATAAACCCTTGCAAAACTTATCTCTATATAATTTCCCACTATTATAATTATTATTTATTATTTGCATTGCACCAGCGCTGAGAGCCTCCACTCATGAATCAGACCTCCATTGTGAAAGCACTGAAATCTGACTGCTAAAAGCCAACAGAGTCTACTAAACATCTCCTTTCAAGGAAACTTCTGTGGTAGTAGACTGTGGTATTTTGGGACAGTCTCACAAACAACACAGACACAGATCAATCTCTCTACTTAATTCAGAGTACTTAACAGATCTCTGTCCAACATTTAATCCTGTGATATATTGTTTTTGTGTTATTTGAGTAAGTCACAAAAGTGGAATAATTCCACAGAACTCCTCTGTCTTTTCTTGAGCTGGAGATGGTGCTGCACATTATCCTGACAAAGATATATAATATTGTAGTCGCTGTGGTTTGGACCCAGAGGCCAGTGGAAACTGCCGTAGAAAACCAGGGGACATTGTCAACCTTCAGTTAACCAGGAGTTTCATTTAACTTGGTAAGTAGGAGTTGTACTGCATTAAATTCACAGCGAGAAGAAACTTGTAATGTACAGAAGTACACAGATGTTACAGCATGAGGAGATATATACTTCCTGCTTTCTTCAGTGAAAATCCTAACAATAAGGAACTAGGAAAGAAACATCAGGTTGTTTTCAACTACATAGTCTCTCCGCAATTATAAAAAGGGCAGGGAGATGGGGCTGAGTAAAATTGTACTTCATGGGCAAAGAGTTCATTATAGACCGTAAGTGGAACAAGGACTCTCCACTAGGAATCCACATGTAGGAAGGGGCAGGACGGAAGAACTGAATGAAGAATTGTCTTACATATCATCATTCCTGGCATCCTGTGAAAACTCAGCAGGAAAGTTAACACAGCCTGGGACGGTCAGCAACTATATTAAATTTCTTGTAGAACCCTCATCAAACTGAGGAACATTGCCCATTAAGGAAGGTTCCCATGGCTTCTTAAGTCGGAGTGGCCCAGCAATACAGGAAAGTCAAAACGGGCCCTAGAACTGGTGCAAAGTCAAAGAGCCTGTTTCGAGATTGTACTGTAGCTCAAATGGATTCCTGAGATGCGCAACAGTTCATATGTAAGCCAAAACATTGTGGCCAAATTCCAATTTGGGTAAGTATGTCATGCTTACATAAACACTCTTGATACTTTCACTTCTTGTTCCAAAACTGTTGTGTAGTATTAAATCACCTGTCATATTTCACCCCAGAGATAGCCTGCATTTCTGTGGTGGCTGATGCTATATACAAAGCTCAGTTATGCAGTTCTAATGCATGCAAATCTCTCCTGACGCTCTTAGACTATTTGCAAGGTTGCCATCCCAGTCATATTCAAGAGCAAGTTTCTAGAACTCAACAACTAAAGGCAAAAATAAAGCCAATTTATATACTGGAATGTGACATCAGCATTTTGATTAAAAAACCCAACATAATACAAAAGTCTGAAGTAACAAATTGTAGACATCAACTCCAACACATAAGTTCTCCTGACATTGCAACAGTAGAAATCATCTTAATGCTTATAAGTATTTTAACCCATTGAGTGACTTAAAACATACATCCAGTGAAAGTTCATGTGGCATTGAGCTGTAGCTCACGAAAGCTTATGCTCAAATAAATTTGTTAGTCTCTAAGGTGCAACAAGGACTCCTTTTCTTACTACTGACAATGGAATTTCCTGAACTATTTTGTTCCTAGAAGTCCAAAGCCCTAACTGTTACTGTAACTGCTGACACATTTTACATGAGTGCATCACACTAAGAGGTATTTCTAGGAATCAACCAGGATAATGCATGGAACTTTGTGACGTTCCACTTTAATGTATAATTTGTAGTCACCGAGAAGTTCAAAAATGCTGACAATCTATTAGCCCAGTAAGCCTATGAGCCTTGTGTTTTCTGAGGGGGAATCGTATTTTTGAGTAGCGAAGTCTGGGGTTTGGAACTCTGAAACATTTGTGCTCCACTCCACTTCTCTTTTAAAATTCTGATATTTAAAGTATTATGAAAGATTGCTATCCAAACATGAAATAGAAGTTATGGCATGCCATTAAGTAAATTCCAAAAAGTATGCCAAAAAGTAAAGTAAGCTGTAGTGTAATATGAAATTATAATCACAACACTCAACAACAAAGGACTGTAAAATCGCTATGCATTTTTAAAATATCTAAAATACATTACAGGAGAATATTTAAAAAACAAACAAGAAGCTGTCAATTAGAGTTGAGTCAGACTTATTAAGATTGAGAAAATTCAGGACCCATTAAAAGCTACTGAAAATCAAAGAGGTTCAAAGTTGTTATAAGGAACAGTATGTGCTACATTTAAAAAATTGCTTTGCTTAACATGAAGTGTTTTTCTCCTCTTAAATATGGCTCTGCAAGTTGCATTGCAGAGGAAGGGTCTATATCTACTGTTTCTTAACAATTTTGAATTCAAATTTTCTTAATTTACAAGCAGAAGGATTTTCTAATTGCCAGTCCTGCAAACTCAGCCTGGGATTGCAGAGTCAAGGTGGCCTTTTTCCTTCTTGTGCATCTTCACCCATAATAAGGGCTCTGACTCTGAAACCCAAATTACACCTATGTAAGCTCATTAGGCCAAATTCTTCCCTCAGTTATGTGGAGGACAGTGTTGCCAACCCTGTGATTTTATCACAAGTCTCACAAGTTATTTGATTTTTTATGTAAAGTCCCATCTCCTGGTGACAAGTGCTTATATGAGAATCTCAGTTTCCATTTTTTAAAAAAGTAAATCTCACAGCGCTGAAAAAAGCTAGAAAATATTATTTGAGTGCACCCTGAAGACTCACCAATGGACGGCAAATTAAACAAACTCTGAAAGTATTATTTTAAAAAAACATCTCATGATTTTTAAGTCAGTCTCATGATTTTGGGGGCCAAGATGATTGATCATTGGGGGTTGGAAACACTGGAAACAACCAATGAAGTCAATAATACTTGCATACTGAAGCAGCGATAGTGCTGAGCACTGCTTTTTGAAGCAGACCAGAGTTCATCTGTTAGCCTTGTTCTCTTGCTACCTGGACTAAGAGGGATATAAAGGCAGTATACTTAATCACCAGGAGAAAGAGTACTCTGTGCCACTTAATAGAAATTCTTCCAACTTTCCCATTTATGATGGGGCGTTCACCCCACACCAGCAAGAGAGGCCAATTAGCCTTAAGCTGCAACTGCTAGGGAGCTAAGGGGCAGGAATACTGATTGAGAATGATGCTCATCTGGGCAGGAACAGGTGGAGCTTCTAAAAAGCCTAGGAGTTGAGGCTGGGAGGTGAGCCTGCAGTCACACTTCCTGATGCAAGGGGGAGAGTAGATGCCTCAGAAATGTAGGGTGGGAAGTTGCCCTGGAAGGGAGCAGTAAGGTCTGAAATGGAAAGACCTGAATTGCTGGTTTGAGGGTCCCTGGATTGGAACCTGGAGTAGAGGGTGGGCCCAAGCTCCCTTACTAGCCACTGTGGGAGTGGTGCAGTCAGCATAGTGGATATGGAGACTGCCTGAGACTTTGTGGGATGAGATCCTGGAAGAGGAGGGT